ACTTTGTTCAATGTACAGTGGTATTTTCCTCTTATTTGGAAATTTTGTTATTACTTTAACCACCACTAAATTATAATACACATTTTAAAAAACAATGCCTTAGACTATTATTAAAATTGCATTATCCTGGTGATATATTAATAGGCAATTTTTCTCAAATAGGAACACACAGGTATAAGCACAAAAAAGTCTTTTGTGACCAAGTACCTGAAGCCTACAAAGCCTAATTACTGTCTTTTTTTCATAACACATTTGCACGCAATGAGTTAGAAAATCCTAACTTTTCCTAATTTAGTGTTTCCTGAGTTTAACTATTGAAGGATTATTTTAAAATATACACATGCAACAAAATTAAACAATTCTATGAGTAGTTAAAATTGATTATTCTAAGAAATAAGATATAGGGAATTCTACTTGAGATATTAGAAGAAAATCGATAAATAATTCCAAATGTCAAATATCCACATAGGATGCAGCAAAGATCTATATGGTAGGTAGAGAATGGTCACCAATTTAGAAGAACAGACAAATGTAGTTGGATGGTAGGAGACATGGAGGTAAAGAAGGAAGAACTCTGTTGAAGTTAAAAGGGTGTTTTGTCAACTCCCACTCAGGGATTATATGACCCTCTCTGTCAACTAATTTGACCAGATGTATTGGGGGACTACACTGCTATCAAATAGTTTTGTCTCATTCAATTCAAGTGGAGAGTCAAGTCAGTGACAGAAGTAACCACCAGAGACATAGGAGACTTAAAGGATCTGCTGATCTAACTTGGGACAAGGTTTTATTTAATTCATTATATCATAGACAGCGACTGGGAGAAATCCAAATCATGACAGGATAAATATATAATCCTATAAAAACATAAGGATTGGATAAATACAACAGGAGTCATGAGTATAGCAGCCAGCTGGACAAATGAAAATCTGGGTGACAGTCCAAGGCCAGAAGCAGAAATGCTATCTAGGATAATATGCTTGTAGCCAAAGAAGGAAATCTAGGTCAAAGAACAAGTCAAAATCATCTTAAAAGGCTGACTCAGACAATAGTCTTCTCTGCAGCAAGCATCTCTTGGGGGGGTCTTCCTGCTCACCATCTCGGAGACAGGATATCACCCCAAATCCTACTTAAAAGGTAGGGATAGCACTCATAAAAATACTGTGTGATTAAAGTTCCCAGCCCTGGTGGAATGGATTGAGTTGAATACCCATCTGCAGATAGACTCATTAGACATTCTCTAGAAGTAGAATCTATTCACTGAGAATATAGTTAAGGTTTTGAATCCTTAGAGTGAAATGTTTGGAAGAATTAGAATGAATTCTCTATGTTTGATCACCATGTACAAAGGCAAGTAAATTAATTGGCTGATAGAGTCTGAACCAGTTCCAGTGAAATAAATATGAACAAAAGAGAAAAGGAAAGAGTAAATTACTTCTTGACTGTCCATTCTTTTTCTAGTCTCTCATGAGACTTAGGTATGTGCCTCCATCTTAAGTACATTGAGATTAAACCCTTGTCCTTCCAAAAATATTCTCATTTGCTTAAGTGAGTTAACATGTACATCAGTGTCATAACCCAATAACTCTAATCTTAGCTAAGTTGAACTAAAGGAAACCCACCCTTACTCTTGCTCAGGCACCTTTAAGGTGTTAGGACCCCAGTGGATGTATAGACCCTGGAAGCAGAAATTATAGAGGGTTAAGATGCTGGATATAACACCGAAAGTCTCACACAAATTACAGGCCTCAGTGGCTAATAAACAAAATGGGCTACCTATACCTTTGTCCCCCTAGAATGGTGGGAAAATAATTTATAGAGGTAGAGAATAAGTTATAAGTTTTTGGGTGATGGTCTTTTTATCAACTGTGTCAAGAGAAACAGAGGTCTGGAATGGCTAGAAGGCATTAAATCTTGGAGAGTTCTATGGGATAGAATGGATACAGGAGGAGAAGATAGAACTAATTTATACAAGATAATCTCCTTATCTCAAGATTCTTAATTTAATCATATTTGCAAAATCTGTGTTGCCTTACAAGGTAACAGTCTATTCAAAGATTCCAGGAGATAGGACATAGGCTCTTGCAGGGGAGGGCATTTTTCAGTCTACTGCAATGTCTTTTTAATTTCATGTATTACTAATTTGTGTCCTCTTCTTTTTCTTAGCTTGACTAGAGAGACATAAATTTTATTGATATTTTAATATAACTAGATTTTTATTTTATTTTTGTATTGTTTTCCTGTTTTCAATTCCATTGATTTCTAATCTTATTATGTGTCTTTTGCTAACTTTATACTTAAATTGCTTTTCTTTCTCTAGTTTCCTAATGAGTAAGCTTGGGTTACTGATTTTAGATTTTTAACTTTCTAATATATTCATCCATCGTTACCAATTTCCTTTTAAGCACTGTTTTCTCTGTAAACCATAAATTTAAATAAGTTGTACTTTCATTTTGTTTAAATAAGTTTAAGTTCCCTTGTGACTTCTTTTCTTCATGTGCTATTTAAAAGTATGTGATTTAATCTCCAAATACTTTGAGATCTCCCTACTATGTTTTTGTTTTTGATTTCTAGTTAATTCCATTGGGATTCCACAAAATGCTATGTATGATTTCTAGTATTTTAAATTTGTTCAGATGTGTTTTATGACCCATAATGTAGACTGTCTTGGTGAATGTTCCATTTGAGCTTGAAATGAATATGCATTATACTGTTAGATGTATTTTCTAAATGCCAACTAGGTTAAGTTGATTGGTAGCCCTGGTCTGGTCAAATGTGTTCTTCCTAACTTTCTGTCTGCTTGATCTATCAGTTACTAAAAGAGAAGTGTTAAAATTCTAAGTATAGGTGGTCCCCAGTCATTGAGCTTATGATTTTTCAGCTTTATGTTGGTGCAAAAGCAATATGCATTCACTAGAAACTGTACCTTAAATTTCAAATTTAATATTTCCATGAAACAGTGATACATTGTATGATGCTGCATTAATGCTGGGCAAGCAGCAGCAAGCCAAAGCTGTCAGTCAGCCACATGATCATGAAAGTAAATAGCTGATACCTTGAAGTGTGCTATGTTGCTAAGCTATGATGTTTGGTAGCTTAGATATAATAATAAAGCAGTTTTTACTTATGATATCACCAAGTTATAGTTGGCATTTAACAGAAAGCAACCCCACCATAAGTTGAAGAGCATCTATATAATAGTATTTTTCTAATTTTCATTTTGGTTCTTTAAGATATTCCCTCATGTATTTGAAGTGCTGTTGTTAGGTACATACATATTAAGTGTTCTTATGTCTCCTTGGAGAACTGAATACTTCTAACATTTTTTTTCTTTTTTTTTCTTTTATTATTCATATGTGCATACAAGGCTTGGGTCATTTCTCCCCCTGCCCCCACCCCCTCCTTTACTACCCACTCTGTCCCCTCCCTCTCCCCCCAACCCCCTCAATACCCAACAGAAACTATTTTGCCCTTATTTCTAATTTTGTTGTAGAGAGAGTATAAGCGATAATAGGAAGGAACAAGGGTTTTTGCTGGTTGAGATAAGGATAGGTATACAGGGAGTTGACTCACATTGATTTCCTGTGCATGTGTGTTACCTTCTATGTTAATCATTTTAATGGACTTTTTGATCCCTGATAATGTCCCTTTATTTTTTAAATCCACTGTATCTAAGTTAACATGGCTTTTCCAATTTTTTTGATTGATGTTATGTTATATCTTTCACTGTCCTGTTACCTTTAATATAGCTATGTATATTTATTGAAACTGGTTGTCTCATAGATGACATATGGTAGGGTCTTCTTTAGAAAAATTAACTCTGATGATCTCTTTCCTTTAAATGATATATTTAGACCATTTGCTATAAGAACAGAACACAACAGCACACAATTATAAATCATAATTTTTATTATTGCTCTCTGGGACTTCAGATGATAATATATAATAAAGAGTCTGAAATAAGAGTGGAGAGGAGGGAAGATCAGAATGAGGAGTCAGTTTGGCATATTGGGATAGTGCTCCCTTCCTGGTGAATTGTCACACTTGGACTCTTGATGTGCTGTTGCTGGCTATTCACTCTAATTCTTGAACTTGCAGACATAAGGTAATTGCACATCACAGTTCAAATCTCTCCACTTTAGAAATCCTAAAGAGAGAGAGAAGAATCACAGTTATTGTGGCAGGGAGATGGAGATACTGTGAATCCAATAAAGAAGCATCTCAGATGCTACTGTAGGCTTAAAATTGATCCCTGTTCCTCCTCAGTGTCCCACTAGAGGTGAAGAAGACAAAGAAAGGAGACCTGAGTGGAGGTTACAGCAGATAAGCATATGTTGCATTTTGTAGCTCAAGAGGATTCCCAAAGGGTCAGACCCAGGGTTGTGGGAGGCAGGATGAGGAAAAGTAGGTCAGAGGTGACTACTCAGTTTCTTACCTGAGTTATTGTGACAGGCTCCCACAGTAATCAGGGTTCAAGGCAATGGAAGGATTCCTCTCCCAGTTAAGGTAATTTAGCACATCAGTGTTACTCCATTCCCATCCACCTCTATTGGGTTCTTCACCCTACAGAGTAAAGGATGCCTTAAAAACAATATATATTCTATAATGATCAAATATGAATCTTCATTTAGGATTCCCTCAAAATAGTATTGCAGGCCCACTGAAGTTCACAGAACTGATTTCCAAGGCCTCATAAAAGAAATGTGTAAAACAAGCACATTAACTTCTTTACAGACCAAAGACCAACCAGAACTCAGCTCTTCAGTTGGTTTCAAGAACTTTCCTTTGCCTCAAATATCCCTAGAATATGAGCCTCTATGTCTCCCAGAGATTTTTATTAGCAGTCACAGGAGACTGTGGTTGGGGGACAATAGCCTCCTAAGAGTACCACAGAGGAGAAGAAGGAATAGCACCAGTGTGGGGTCATGGAGCCCATCCAGATGTATTGATAGCTGTTCACAGTGCTCTTGACCAGAGAGGACACGAAGGATGCTTCAACCCCACTGAGCAAGGACACTAGGTGTCCTGAGGGCCGCTTCTGGCAGGCCAACTGTGTGAGGAAGGGACAGAGTGAGAAGGAACCTGGCATATCACTGGGAGAGAAAAAGGGCAGAGGTAGGTGAGAAGGGATGTTGTGTGAAGGATAAAGGATATCCTCCTTTATCCTTCACACAAGGGGTAATTGAACAACCCCCTCCCCTGTGACCCACTTTCCACCAAACACTCACCTCCTCCCTCAACACTCACATCTGCATCCATCCAGGATTTTGGAGTCTTAAACAAGGCATAGCAGTGGGAGGCATCCTGGGAGACTTTGGGACAGCTTATGCACAAAGAGGGGAGATCCTTTTGGGAGTCCTCTCCTGGTATATAGGAAGAAAAAGAGAAGGATTTGGTGAAATGAAGAGTGGGGATTGAGAAGGGACATTGACTTAAGGATTATTGAGGAGTCCTATCTTTTGGGAGGAAAATCATATTCTTGACTACTCTCATTTTTCCCATACTTTCAGAAATTCTTGACACTAAATAGACCAACTATATGAAGGAGCACCTATTTCCAATTTACCTTTCCCCTTTATTCTACAGTCTATGCATCTTTCCACTATGATAACAGTTTTGACACTGGTTCCTTCAATCCTTTTTTTTTCCTTATGGTTCATTACTGACCTTTGACACTTTCCCTCTTCAACCCACCAACATAAATTAGAACATCCTGATGAATTGGCAATACATCTCAATTGACCATTTGATGTTTCCACCACCAATGATATAAAGGAAGGCAGGATGAGGGAGGAATTCCCAGTGGGGATTCTTCTCACCATTGCCACATGGGACATTTCAGAGCCTTCCTCTTCTTGACTGTGGACACTCACTGCTACCCTAGTGCTAAAGGCAGAAAGAAGAAAGATCTTACCTTGGACCTGAGATAGGAGCATCAGGCAGAAAAGCAGCATCCAGGACAAGCTGTGGAGGGCCATGAGGGGCGACACCATGTCTGTGAATGAGGAGGCAATCAGAGTCACTGAAGGATGTGTGGCCATAGACAGGACATACAGAAACCACACTGCCTCCTTTCTTTTCCTTTGTCTAGTCTTGCAGAGATATATTGATCTTGGTCACATCCATCTCCTCCAATAGTTTTGGAGTAAATTACAGAATCTATATTCTCTCCATCCCCTGAGAGCTCCCAGAGCATCCTTTGCTAAGTCTCAGAGATCCTGTGTCTCTGATGACAGCAACCCACCAATACCTTCTTCTGTATTACATGAACTAAAATCCCTACTTAGGCTCTCATCTTCTTTCTTTCATCTCCCACCTACCTGTCTTGCAAGGATTGTGAGATGGTTTGGGAAGCACTGTCTGAGACTTTTATAAGAGGGTCTGAGGGAGGAGCATTGATTTGAAAAAATAAAATGCCTGTGCAGACCAGGGGTCATGGATACTGGTTGGCAAGGATTCCTGGGGATTCCCATCAGGAGGAGGATACACTTCTTGGCAAAGACTGAGAATTTTCATATATGTTGTTTCCTGTTAGCAGGCCACTCTGTCCTCAGGTACAGATGAAGTTTGGACTTTACCCACCCTATCTCAGATATGCTGTTCTGAGAAACTTAAGAGAATATAGACAGGCTCGTGGCACAAATTTTGCAGTTAGTTACATAGTTTTGAAAATATTATGGCCTTGGATAATTACCGAAAGTAAATATGAGCAGTGTATTTTTGATCAACCTAGAGGAACTAAGTCTTGAATGCATACCTATGTATTTCTTTGTGCCTTGTCTCCTAAGATTTGTAGCAAATATATAAGTAAAAATTGGATTGGTCGGGAATTGGAATTACAAGTGAGGATAATATGTTAGTTGAAGGAAAAGAATTAACCTAAACCAAGAAAAGAAATAACCTATCAGAGTTGCTGCTTAAACTGTACAAGATGTAAAAGAAGCTTGAAATCATGTTGTGATTCAATACTCTACACAGCATATTAAGGAACAGCCACTCAATAAAGTTGTGTTCTAGCCACTTCTGTGTGGGCAGACTGAGGAATAACACCCCAGTTATTTTACTTCTGAGCTGTCAACTTGACACCTCAGAGTAGTACCCTCAGCTATGGTCACAATCTCTTGGGTATCTTCAAGATTCAAGACTCTTTCAGAATGGCTTTGAAGTTGTAATTTTCTTAATTATAGTAAGCTGTTTTATTTGCTGTACTCACTGTGTTGATATTTGCTCTGAATGGGGTCAAGAAATAGTGGGTAAATGTTCTGATGATTTGTCATTAATTAAACCAGTGTCACCAATCTATGTCTTTCATATCCATGCACTTGTAATAGGTAAAAAAAAAGATATTTTCATTTTAAAATACCCTTGAACTGGAAGAAGCAATGAAGATAACTGAAATTAGTAAATCTCATCCCTTGAACACATGTCTTTTAATATTTTGCTATGACTAAATGGAAAGTCTATATACTAACAGTAAAGTAGTTGTCTTGAGGAAAAGCATATTTGTAACACAGAGTTTACAGTTTTGAATAATATCATTTTCCTTATAAAATCAATTGAGAGACATTCTTCCAGGTTTCATATATTGTTCTTTTCTTGGAAATGTTTTCAAAATTGATCAAGTAGAATTTATATTTTTAAATTCCTATTTTAATTTATAGTATTATAAATATTAAGGACAATAATTCTTTAAGATCCTCAAGAGATGAAAATAATTTGAAAAACTCTAATTAGTATCTATCTGACAATTTTCAGGAAATACAGAAGATTGAAATAGGTTTTATGTTACAATACATGGACACAATCAGCAAAGTTCAAAAGGTGGGCGTCCTTATAGTACAAATGCCTTCATTTTCCTAACAATGAATTAAAGAAATGAAGTAATATAATACTCAACTTCTGGGAGAAATATATGCCAAATTCAATACGTGGAATATGTTTAGGTTCTGAGTCAAATAAACCAAATAGTAATGAGATTGTTGTATAGAGTTACAGGGTTATAATTTTTAAATGTCAACATGGCTAATAAAAATATAATATTTAAAATGTCTATAATTTAAAGATATATAATATAATTCTTATAGATGAAATATATTTCTCAGAATTTACTTCAATATTCTCCAGTATGTTAGTGACAAAAGAAGGGGGATATAGATGGAACAAGAGAGCTATGTGGTGACCATTGCTATTGCTTAGTGATAGGTACATAGAGATTCATGTTACTATTCTTTTTGAGTTTGTCTGAATTTTCATCATGAAATGTTGGGGAAAGAGAAATGTTGAGAAATGTGCATATTGGGAAAAAGGAAAAATTGACGGAAAATGTGAGAAAGAAATTTAAAAGCCATTCTTATGCAAGAACATAATACTAAACAAATCAAATTCACAAATATGCATAATAAATGTAAAGAGAGAAGAGTCAACCCCAGGAATGTTAAGGTAATTTGTTATGAGGAATTATTATTGTTACTGTCACATTCAGAAATTAAAGGAGAGAAAAGTATATAATTATCTTAAAAAGAAAAAATCATTAAGTAAAATTTAACTTTCATTAATGAGTGATAAAAATTCTTAACAAATGAGGCAGAAATATAAATATACTTAACAAGATAACGAAATCTACAAAGACTCAAATGTAAAATACTGAAAACATTTCTTTAAAAACCAGGAATGTAAAATCCCAGGAATATAAAAGTGTACACCCCCATTGATTCTATTCAACAACTCCATGCTGTAGAAATTATGCTATAGAAAAGGAAAATATAAGCAATAAAAAAGAGTAAATGAAATTTTCATTATTTGCTTATGACATGTTGGTTTCATGAAAAGCCAAGAAGAATCTTTATGTTAATTATCAAAATTAATGGAAGCATTTAGTAAACAAAAATATTGTCAGCATATAAATCCCAATTGACCATTGATATTCCAACAGCAGAGTTAGGAAAACCATTCTAATGAATGATACCATTTAAACAGGGAGAAAAAGATAAAGTGTCTAGGTATATATTTGAAAAAATAGTAATGAGCACATTAAGTTTTTAAGTTTCAGAGACAAATATATTGAAAAACCTATCATGGTTATAGTGAGAAAGATTCAATACCTTGAAGTTGCTTCTCCATCAATTGTTGGTAATGTAATCAGAACACAAACATGGATTGTCTGGAAATTTAATAAGTTAGTTTCAGACTTCAAAAGAAAAAACAAAGGATCAAGAGCAGTTAATGGATTTCTGAAGAAACTCAAAAGGTGAAGAATTTTTTGGCTCAAGACTTTTCACTATAAAATGGTCCAAGGATAGTAAACATGAGCAGTATAAAAAGATACAGTCCAGAAATATGGTATGTAAAAACTGGAAAATGGAGGGTCTTTATATATCAGTAATGAAAGTTAGACTGACCTATTTGGATTAATTGACTATCCACAGAAACAAAAAAACAAAAAGATAGTTTGGATTACTAATCCTTATAATATGAACATAAAATAAGAGCAAAAAATGAGAGAAAAGTCATGGAGAATTGACTGAAATTAAAACTCAAAAAAAAGTAATATATTTGATACATTGTAAGAACTTTTGTAAATACCACAATGTACCTCTACCCAACACAACAAAAAAATGGAAAAAAATAGAAAAGTAAAAATATGTTTTTGACTTTGGACTACTAATTTATCTCTTAACCACAAAAAACACAAATTATAAAATAAAATATAGCTAAATGTGACCACATTAAAAATTTTAAGAATAAAATGAAGTCTGTGAAGTAGAAATGAAAGAAAATGCTTTAGATATATACAACTGACAAAGAAGTAACAATTTAGATGTCAATAGTGAGAAAATCATTAGAAAAGAACAAAAAGTGATCAAAGGAGAATATATATATATATATATATATATATATATATATACATGTCAATATGTCAACCTCACATGTCAATCAAAAAGACTGAAGTTAAAATTAAATATATTTTAAAATTAAATATATTCCATTCCTCTAAGGTATGGAAAATATGAAAGTTTGACTTTCCAATATTTTACTGAGGATTTAGACTATGAGTCCTTCACAGTTCTGCTGATGGAGGTAGAAACTGGATGTACAACCACTTGGGAAAACTAGCATTTTCTTATATGCTGTTATACTCTTAGAAGTATTCAACTTATACATGTAAGCAAAGAGAGTTATACAAAAACATTCATTATAGTTATAGTGGCAAAAGACAGCTCTTAATAAGAAACTAAGTGAATATTTTATAGTTTAAACAAGCTACAAAATACCATTATGTTAGTAAAAGTTAGCAAATCATAGTTATAGGTACCAAAATGGATTGACTTTAAAGACACAATCTTGAAAGAAAAGAGCTAAATTATAGAAGATAATATACCATATAATGGTTTTAGAACCTCAAAAAACAAAATAAATGAATAATGTATTATTTAGATAGACATATATATATTTATATATACTAAAATAAGAGATGTTAAACTCAAAATTCAGAATTGTTACTTCTGGATGAAGAGAGGATATCATTGGAGTAAAGAAAATGAAGCTTTGAGTATCTTATATTAGATATCTACTTTTTATGTCAAGTAGCATGTACTTGAACTTTAAAATATATTTTTGAATCATGCTACATATATTGTCATCTGCATACATACAAAACCTATAATAAAAAGTAAAGAAAAATAGCTCAATAGTAGTAGAATTGAACAACGTTTAAGGCTATAAATGATTAAAAATTGTCTTTAAATTATTGAGGTTCACACAAAGAAGTTAATCCAAAATAATTGTTAAGCTTCAGATAAAAGTTTTATAAGATATTGTTCAGACTCTAATCATCTGAAGACTTCACTGGGACTATCTGCTTCCAAAATGACCAACTCTTGTCTACTAAATTTATGCTGGTTTTTGGTAGGAGTCATTAGTTTTTCACAGTGCAGGACTTTTCATAGACTTTCTGGAGTGCCCTCATGATATGGTAATTGCCCACCCCCATAAGTT